TTGTTGATTATACTGATACGGAGGTGACTGCAATAATTGTCCAGTAAATGATTGTTGAAAAGTTCCATTAGTACTCATTTCACTATTTATTTTACTTACTGTTGGTGTATCGTATACAAATATGTCACTACTGTCCTAGGATGATAACTTGAGTCTTTGTTTACATAACAAAGACCAATAACAATGCGAAAAATAGGTTAGGCAGATCAATGCCACAATCTATAAAAATGAAAATAAAACTACATGTTATCATATGTCTTGTTAGCGCAGTAGGTAGAGCAACCGTGTCAGTAATGAGTTTATCCGTACAGACAGAAGTTCGACTACTGGTACATTTTTTTTTACCTCAGAACAGTCAATTGTTTGACCGGTTTTATGCATACATGAATATGAGATCGAATATTTTATTTCACTGTGATCAAAAAATAAAAAAAGAAAAAAGAATAGAAATAAAAAATAAATATATACTATAAAATATATATCATAAGAAGAAAACAAAAAGGAAAACGAAAATAAATGAATAATTATAATGATAAAAAACAGAGCAAGAAGAAAAACCTGTGGTTATAAAATGGCACTACTTGGGGTTCGAACCTATGAGAACAAAACTCTAAAAGTTACAAATAATTTCGATCTACCGACAGAACCATAACGGTAATACGCAAACGATACTGTAAGAATAATGCTATATAGTATTTGTAAGTGTTTACTTTTACGATATCGGATAATAATCCAGATAACCCCGTTTTTGGACTTTCCCATGTACCGTTAAGACCAAATTATCATCCTAGGACAGTACGTTGTTTCTTTCGTTTGTTTTGATTGTTTACGTCATCACTATCTCTGTTACTGTCCTAGGATGATAATTTGTTTTAATATCTAACTTTTCAGCAGATTCTACAATATGGTCAGCATTTTAATAACATATTTTTGACTGTTTATTGTATTTTGTCATAGATAAATCAAGAATGACACGTCGCGTGTGAAATCGATTTTAATATGACCTTGGGGCATATCGATCTCGATAAATTATCAGTTTAATGGATATCTGTGGAAACATGTTGTTTATAATGTAATAAAAGCTTATTAACTATAAAAATTAGCACATTATTAATTTTTGTTCAATATTACTTATACAATTATACGAACAACAAATAAGGAAACAGAAATCACTTTATTTCATATTTGCACTAAATACGACATAATAATTATATTTTGTTAAAATATACATTACGTATATGTACATGTATATATTTCAACCTATGATGCATAGTTTAATACATACTTGAAACAAATTATGATTTTTCGTACATCATATTTTGACTACATTTTTAAAATTTTAACCAATATATAACACATAGAAGAAAATTCATTAAGGTACTTAAATAAAATATTATATCAAAATAAATTGAGAAATATACAGTATATATCAATTGAATTTTTTTATAATTAATATGTATCATTTGTAATATTGACATCTTGAAAAAACATTTTATCAAGTATTTCTCGACCTCGCCTGTAATATCACCAACGGCAATTTGACACCTTCAATGTTTCCCTTCTTTGTGTAACTGGTCAGCAGTTTTCGATAATCCTTCTTTGTTTAACTGGTCAGCAGTTTCCTATATATTCTATATCGTCAGCTAATTCGTCAGCAGTTTAGTGCGACCCCTTCCATGATCGCACCGTTTGTCGGTGAGTTAGTAAATTCTGACCAAGCACCGGTAGACGCACGACAATGCGATACGGATATTATTCCAAATGTCGCTTCGCATTGTCGAGTGTCGCTTCGCGTTGTCGAGTATCGCTTCGCGTTGTCGAGTGTCGCTTCGCATTGTCGAGTGTCGCTTCGCAATGTTGAGCGTCGCGGTGTAAAAATCATAAAAATAACGCGACATTTACTCGACATTTTAAAAATGTCGCTTCGCGATGTCGAGTGTCACTTCGCATTGTCGAGCGTCGTATCGCATTGTCGCGTTGTCGTTTCGCATTGTCGAGTGTCGTGGTATGCACTTCTACCAACCTCGACACTCGACAATGCGAAGTGACAATGCGACAACGCGAAGTGACATCGCGACAACGCGAAGTGACATCGCGACGACGCGAAGCGACGCTCGACAATGCGAAGCGACACTCGACAACGCGAAGCGACATTTCTTAAATGTCGCCCTTTTTTACCGCGACATTTCTAGGCGACAGTGCGACATATCGTTTGACACTGTCGAGCGTCGCTTCGCATTGTCGCATATCGCTTCGCGTTGTCGAGCGTCGCTTCGCATTGTCGCGATGTCACTTCGCATTGTCGTGTGTCTACCCTTAGACGCGACGGACGACATTCTAAATGGCACGATAAGGACACCGTACCTAAAAGATGTTTGTAAATTATGATAATTTAACCAAACTTCAATAATTTGACCTTGACGGTATAGCAAATATCAGTTAAATTCCAATAACGTAACTTTCAAGGACAAGGTATTAAAAGTATCAATTTGACTTTTATCTACATGAAGGTACATGAAGGTCTTTTTGATTTTGATATACATGAAATTTTTATCCTAAAGAATGTTGTGTCTTAATATGAAGTCAATCGATTCATTAATAACAAAGTTATAGCCAGTTACAGCAAAAAGATGAAAATTTCAATACTTTGACATTCAAGGTCATGGTCATTTAAGAGTGATAATTAAGGACTGTCTGGTTAACTCGATGGTTTATCCAAAATATTATTATGTTGAAGTTTGAAGACAATCCATTCAAAAATAAAAACTTATGTTCAAAATTTGGAAATTCAACCTTGAAGGTCAAGGTCATTTATGAATGTCAAGTTTATTCTGGTTTTCTTGAAGGTCTTGTCCTAAGGGTTGTTGCGGACAATATACTAAGGTACTTAAAAGGGTATGATCAAGGTGAAAGTTTGCATACGGCAACGGCTACAGGAACTCCGCAATGACAATACCCCTATTTTTTATTATTTTTTTCCAAATAAAAAGCCGAGCTAAAAACGTCATTACCATTTATCAAAATCACCACTTTATAACTCTGTATATAAGGCAGATTTGGCGTTCTATATTTAAGTGTATATTTTTGTACATTGACTTATGTAGCTTTGCTGATCGTATATTCTACTTGTTGTTATACTAATGGAATACATGTTTAGAAATACGAAGCGATATGTACAGAACATTTTATATATATATGCGAAGAGATATAAAGAAAGAAGAAGTTTTCGTCTCAAAATAAAAAGATATATATAATCTAATTATGAAGAAATATATAGAAATGTAAACATTAAAGAGTGTTCTCGAGCTTATGATGCATTTATTCAAATTCATTTTCTTAAATCTGAGTACACATTATCAAACTAGGATTGAGCATGTTACAATAGGTATACCCCGAGCTTGTCACAGCTTTATTAATCAAATAAAAAATATTTAAAAAAAATACTATAGTTACGTTTGAATAGGCACTTTAGTGACATCGGAATCTAATAAGCTGAAAATGTTTTTACAGATATAATTATATTGTTATCGACGTTTTAGGACTTTTACAAATAATATTCGAAATAATGATTAAAACTGTGAGCTCAGTTCGCATTTAAACGAAAGGTCAACTCCTCTTTATTCAGTTTATTTTAATGAATTAAGGTGTTTTATATTTCCCCATTCCTGCCTATCTGCACGACCTCTGTTAAAGTTTGACATGTCGACGATATAAATGATAATGTTTATATGTTTAGAAATCTCTTCATACGGATATTATCACCTGCTACCACTGAGGTTTGTTTATGAGTGATACTGTGGAATGCTCACTATGTGGCAAAGAGAAGAATAAACAATAAATGACATGGAAAGAGTTAAGTTACAGCAATGAGTAATTATGTACACTAATATAAACCGTGTGGTACAACATTTCGTGACGCTATGCTATAGATATCATGCAACTATATCATCAATATCTATCAACATAAAACAAGTTAAATGTTGATGCTGCACATCAAAGACGCCGCCAAATGATGTGAATTGAAAATAGTTCTCTATTACAGTTGAATATCCGATGCACAAATCAATTTTTTCTCCATGTTCTTGGTATGTGCTCGTTGTTTAATAATTAAGTTGCATATTTTTGTGAAAAAGAAGAACCTAATGCATAAATTCACAAAGTAATACCATGTCTGAAATTCTGAAATGTTTGCCTGTTGCGACAAAGATTGAAACGTCTGGTCGAAGCAAAATAAATTGGATAACATGTAAAATTGTAATGATTGGTATACTTAAAATAAATTCAAGACAATATGTGCCTAGAATATGTCCATTTAAATATTTGTACGAATTGCATATTGTTCGAATGTTCTGCAGTGATCTCCCACGTAACCGGTGCAGTTTGGCGTACTTTCTTCACGGTTGAGGGAGAACCGCCTCTCTGATAGTGGGTGTGATTTAGGCTTTGTAACTTGCAATTTAATGATTCGACATGTGATATTGATCAAAGTTGTCCTGGTTCCCTTCCTCTCCGTCAACGAAGACTAAAAGCTAGAATATCATATTAAATTTGGCGACAATTTAAGGCGGATCCGAACTTCAACAGAGGCGGAGCAAATGAAGTGCGTGACACTGCCTCAGTCGTTACCTCTCTCAACGGTTAATTTTTAGAACGATCGACTATAGACTGGTTCATTGGCACGTTATTTATTTTGTAGATAAAATTAGATTATGATAAAAAAAATATGAGATTCAAACATGGCACTGTCACTTCAGTTAAACGTTTATTCTAATCCCTTAAAGCTCTGTGACATGTTGTACATCAGAAAAGCTATTTTTATTAGAAAATTTGAAAACAGTGTGATTTTGTTAAAACATAAAAATACACAAAATCAAGTCTAAATTTCCCCCATTGCTGTATAGAAAAATGCATATCTAATAACACCAAATATGTTTTTATAAATCATGAAAATAAATATTTTGTGTCTTTTAGTTCAAGTCGATTTCTTCTATATATCCTAGGTTGTCGGAAAATTATGAGAAAGCTGATGGCGTCTGTTTGCCAAGATGTGTTTTATACCAACATTATCTAGATTTCTGTAAAAAAATGAAATTTACTCCAGCGGGTGCAGCTACGTTCGGAAAGGTTTGTTCTTATTACTTTAAATCTTTACAATAAGACATAATGTTTTCAAGCAATAAATATTCTTATAAATACATAAATATAAAAACATTATATACATGTATTAATGTTGTTTACTTTTTCATCAAAAAGTAAATAACTGAAGTGTAATGTTTAAATATACATTTCAGATCATACGTCAGAGATTTCCAAAGCTGACAACAAGACGTCTAGGAACACGTGGGCAATCAAAGTATGTCAAAATAACTAGATTTATTTCCAATTTCTTTTCACAACCGTAGTTCAAGTAATTCGTATAGGTATAATAGCATGTAAGGTCAATATAAATATTGTTTAGTACAATACTATGGAAAGCCATGGCTGTCTGATACAGTAAACTCCGCTTATAACGAACTCACTGGGACATTCAAAACCTGTTCCTTATATCCGGAGTTCCTTGTAAGCATATAGCGAATTAGTTCGTTGTATCAGGAGTTTTTATAGCGAACAGATTTACATATAACGAACTGATTGTTTACCATTGTCCGCCATTTTTGAAGAGAATTTGATTAAGAAATAGAAATATTAGTCATTTATTTATATTTTAGACACACTACCCGAGAGCGTACTTTTTGGAATTTGATTGCTATTTCAGTTTTAGTTTTACTCCTTATCTCAATTTCACATAAAATATAATATTTTGTTTCTAAACTATTTTCGTTTTCTTTCCATGATTGAGAATAAACAAGATTTTCGATTTTTCCTTCCTTTTATATTGAATATCTTCTATTATAATTTAAGGGTGACTTTACTAATGAAAGATATAGATTTCTTTTCATTTAATTCAAGAGTACTTTGCAGTTTGCAATGGATCATGCTTGCAAGCATGAATGATTTTGTTGAAAACCGATTATAAATTATTATAATTATTTTACTCGAGCAAAACTATTGAAGAAAATAAATAAATTGGTGAAAAGAGCTCATGCTAAAAATAGCCAAAATAGAAAACTATACAAATTCATTTGAATAGATGTATTGAAGTACATCCAACGATAAACGGTACATTCGCTTGAGTTTTAATCCGTGAGTTGAAAATGCGGGATCTATTTACGGATAGCCAATATTTTGGAGTTCGTTATAAAAGTGTAATTTTCTGTACTATTAACTAAATTGGGACTAAGAAATGAGTTCCTTATAAGCGATAACTCCTTATAACCGTGTTCGCTATAACCATATATTTTTATATTAAATAAAGAAGGCCAAAATTCGGGCCAAAATAAATTGTTCACTATAACCGGAAGTTCGCTATAACCGTGTTCGCTATAAGTCAAGTTTACTGTATTGTTCTTTTTCAATTTATGTAACCATTTGGATAATATATGAGTTCACTTCGACTATATATGAATTGAAAACACCTTCTTATTTAACCGGAATCCATTATATTAATCCACAGTTACAATATATGAAACCATACCGTCAGTGTATGAAACCGAGTTAGCAATATATAAGTTGATTTTCTCAATATATGATTCCAATTCTTCAATATATGGTACCAAAGTAGCCATGTATGGAACCAGATGTCCTGATATGAAACCGAATTATCAATATATTAATTCATTTTTACAATATATGAAACCAATTTATCAATGTATGGAACCAAAGTAGCAATATATGAGTTGGTTATCACTTTATATGATACCAGTTCTTCAATATATGGTACCAAAATAGCCATATATCATATGGAACCAGATGTCTTTATGTGAAACCGAATTATCAATATATTAATTCATTTTTACAATATATGAAACCAATTTATCAATGTATGGAACCAAAGTAGCAATATATGAGTTGGTTATTACATTATATGATACCAATTCTTCAATATATGGTACCAAAATAGCCATATATGGAACCAGATGTCCTTATATGAAACCGAATTATCAATATATTAATTCATTTTTACAATATATGAAACCAATTTATCAATGTATGGAACCAAAGTAGCAATATATGACTTGATTATCACTTTATATGATACCAGTTCTTCAATATATGGTACCAAAGAAGCCATATATGGAACCAGATGCCCTTATATGAAACCGAATTATCAATATATTAAGTCATTTTTACAATATATGAAACCATTTTATTAATGTATGGAACCAAAGTAGCAGCTAGTATATAAGTTGATGTTACATTCTATGATAGCAATTTTCATTATATGGAACCAAAATAGCCTATTTTGAAGTAAACTCTTTAAAGGCCGAGGTCACTGGGTTCCACTTTTTCATGAAATCAATTATTATTTGACTGATTATTTTTTAAACTTTGTGAGTAGATTAACCTTGATGTGTCCTTCTGGCCATGTAAGCCGGTATAGTAACATACTATTATACAATAATGAAAGCGGGGATAGTAATATACACAATAATGTAAATATGGATAGTAACATAATTATACAGTAATGTACACGGGACTAGTAACATGTTCAATAATGTAAAAGGGATTGGAACACATACAAAAATGTACACGGGACTAGTAACACATTCATGAGTGTATGTTTTGCTATCATGTTTCTACTATGTCTAAGTATTGCTATCACGATAATTTAATATATTTTCTAATGCTGGGTCTATGTATCGTTATCACAATATTATAATATATTTTCTAATACTGTGTCTAAGAATCACTGTCAATCTTTTCTATTACTTTTATGATAATGTAATTTTTTCTGTCTTTGCATACAGATATCACTATTACGGTATTGGCATCAAGGAGACGTCAATATACTATCACTCTGTTTATTCCGGAAAAGGATTAACAAGGTACGATTACTTTTGAAACAAAATGTAGATTTCACAATGTGTAAAACATATTGTATTTCATTTGGATGTTACGAGTGTTTCATCATGAATGGAATGCATGGATGGAATACAACAATTTGTAAGTATGTGTTCTGAAGATTAGAGATTAGATCGTTACCATATGAGCTCTTGTATAAGTAACCATCTTTATCTCACTTGCTGACTTTACATGCTATTGAAATTTTTTTTCAATTATTACGGGTAGCAGTAAAGATTATTCTTCATTGTCAGTGTATCCAGTTTTCTTTGTTTGAATTTTTAAATACGATAATAAAATCCACTAGTATCCCCGAATTATTAATTTCTATATGATAACAAAACCTTTTAGTCGCCTTGAATTCTGTGAAGTTAGTTACCTTGAAGTCCGTGTATGTAACAAGATTCTTTAAATGAGACAGTAAAACCCATCAGTGTCCCCGGATTATTTTATGGTGAAAGTGAAATACACAAGTGTAACAAATAAATGTCTCTGAATTCCTTAAATGTAACAGCATAACCACTAATGTACCAAGATTATTTATGTGATAATGGAATCCACTAGTTTTTCAGGATTGTATTTAGGTTATAGTTGAACTTATTAGACTCTATAAAATTCTGTGAAATTGTTCCAAGATTCTTTGTGTGTGAATGTGAAACCCCACTATTGTTACACGATTCTTTGCGTGTGAAGTAAAAGCCCACCATTGTTCCAAGATTGTTTGTATGTGAAAGTGAAATCTCATCATTGTTCCAAGAATCTTTATGTGTGCAAGTGAAAATGAAACCTCACCATTGTTCCAAGTTTCTTTGCGTGTGAAAGTGAAACCCCTCTATTATTCTAAGATTATTTGTTTGTGAAAGTGAAACCCCACCATTTTTCCAAGATTCTTTGTATGTAAAAGTAAAACCCCACCATTGGTCAAAGAGTATTTGTATGTGAAAGTGAAACCCCACCATTGTTCCAAGATTCTTTGTATTTGAAAATGAAACCAAACCATTGTTCCAGAATTCTTTGTATGTGAAAATGAAACCCTACCATTGTTCCAAGATTCGTTGTGTGTGAAAGTGAAACCAACCATTGTTCCAAGATTCTTTGTATGTTAAAGTGAAACTCCACCTATGTTCCAAGATTGTTTGGATGTGAAAGTGAAACCTCATCATTTTTTCTAAAAATTTGTATGTGTCCAAGATTCTTTGTGTGTGAAAGTGAAATCCTATAATTGTTCTAAGATTATTTGTATGTGAAAGTGAAACCCCACCATTGTTCCAAGATTCATTGAATGTGAAACTGAAACCCCAGCATTGTTTCAAGATTCTTTGTGTGTGAAAGTGAAACCCCATAATTGTTCTAAGATTATTTGTATATGAAAGTGAAACCATACCATTGTTCCAAGATTTTTGTTTGTGTGTGAAGTGAAACACCACTATTGTTCCAAGATTCTTTGTGTGTGAAGTGAAACACCACTATCGTTCCAAAATTCTGTGTGTGTGAAAGTGAAACCCCACTATTGTTCCAAGATTCTTTGTGTGTGAAAGTGAAACCCTACCATTTATCCAACATTATTTCTTTTTGAAAGTGAAACCGCACCATTGTTACATGATTCTTTGTATGTGAAAGTGATACTCCTGCATTTTTCCAAAATTCTTTGTTTGTGAAAGTGAAACCCCAACATTGTTCCAAGATTTCTTGTAAGTAAAAGTAAAACCCCATCATTGTTACAAGATTCTTTGTATGTGAAAGTGAAACCCCACTATTGTTCCAAGATTCTTTGTGTGTTAAAGTGAAATCCGACCATTGTTCCAAGACTTTTGGTATGTTAAAATGAAACCTCATCATTGTTCCGAGATTCTTTGTGAGTGAAAGTTAAACCCCAATAGTTAGTGTTTCAAGATTCTTTGTGTGTGAAATTGAAACCCTTTAATTGTTCTAAGATTATTTGTATGTGAATGTGAAACCCACCATTGTTCCAAGATTATTTGTGTGTGAAAGTGAAGCACCACTACTGTTCGTTCCAGGATTCTTTGTATGTGAAAGGGAAATCCCACCATTGTTCCAAGATTATTTGTGTGTGAAAGTGAAACCACACCATTGTCCCAAGATTCTTTGCTAGTGAAAGTGAAACCCTACCATTGTTCCAAGATTATTTGTGTGTGAAAGTGAAGCACCACTTCTGTTCGTTCCAGGATTCTTTGTATGTGAAAGGGAGTTCCCACCATTTTTCCAAGATTCTTTGTATGTGAAAGTGAAACCACACCATTGTCCCAAGATTCTTTGCTAGTGAAAGTGAAACCCTACCATTGTTCCAAGATTATTTGTGTGTGAAAGTGAAACACCACTATTGTTCCAAGATTCTTTGTATGTGGAAGTAAAACCCCACCATTGTTCCAAGATTCTTTGTATATCAAGTGAAACCTCACCATTGTTCCAAGATTCTTTGTATTTAAAAGTGAAACCCCACTTTTGTTCCAATATTCTTTGTATGTGAAATGGAAAACCCAATATTGTTCCAAGATTCTTTGTGTGTGAAAGTGAAACCCCATTATTGTTCCAAGATTATTTGTGTGTGAAAGTGAAACCCCTTCATTGTTCCAGAAGTCTTTGTATGTGAAACCTCACCATTTTCCTAATATTCCTTGTATGTGAAAGCGTTGTTCAAAGAGTCTTTGTATGTGAAAGTGAAACTCTACCATTGTTCCAAGATTCTTTGTATGTGAAAGTGAAACCCCACCATTGTTCCAGGATTCTTTTGTATGTAAAAGTGAAACCCACTACTGTTCCAGATTTTTTGTGTGTGAAAGTGAAACCTACTACTGTTCCAAGATTCTTTGTATGTGAAAGTGAAACCCCGCTACTGTTCTAAGATTCTTTGTGTGTAATAGTGAAACCCACTACTGTTCCAAGATTTTTTGTATGTGAAAGTGAGCCAAGAACGCGACTGAAAAGAATGTCTCAATTCTGACTGAATTAAGGTAAATAATACTGTCGTTAATGGAACAATAACAAGAGCTGTCACAGAAGACAGCGAATCTCGACTAATAAAATACTGGACGCAGTAAGGAAGACAAACCTATAAAAGAAAAATCAATTATGCATAATTATGTATTATGTTATAGTAAAAAAATAACATTTGTTAACATAAATTCCAAGTTCAAGGGGGAATAATTTTAGAAATAGTCACGCGAGAGTTATGAATCTTGTCACACAACATGTGTGTAATGATAAGAAATATATATTTGAAGTTTGAAGTAAATACCTTAAAAAGTAAAGAGTTTATAATATTTCTTAAAGAAAATTCTAAGTTCAAAGAGAGATAAATCGAAAAATATTGCTTCAAGATTTATGAGCCTTGTCACATAAGATGTGATTGATGATAAGGGATAAGTATTTGAAGTTTGAAGTAGATACCTTTAAAACTAAAGAAGTTATAGTAAAAAAAATATTTGTTCAAGTAAAAAAATCTAAGTTTATCGAGAGATAATTCTTGCAATAATGGTACTTGAGTTTTGAACCTTGTCACATAATATGTACATGTAGTTAATAATCAGGAACATATAGAAGTATAAAGTTGATATCTTAAGAAATATATATGAAACAGTAAAAAATAATATTTTTTAAGGAAAATTTTAAGTTCAAGGGGAGATAAATCTGAAAATTATTGGTGCTGGAGTTATGAACCTTTTCCCATAAGATGTGGTTGATGATAAGGGAATGAAGTTGATCCCTTAAGAAATAAAGAAGTAACAGTAAAAATTAGTATTTTTTTAAGGGAAATTGTAAGTTCAAGTGGAGATAATCTGAAAATATTGGTGCTAGAGTTATGAACCTTGTCACATAAGATGTGGTTGAAGATAAGGAACATATATTTGAAGTTTGAAGTTGATACCTTAAGAAATGAAAAAGTTATAGTGAAAAATATTTTACTGCTGAAATCTGGACGCGGGCGAGTAGGACAGCTCTCCATATACTTCGTATAGTCGAGCTAAAAATAACAAGCAATTATCATAGTATTGCAAGAGTCCCCTACCGGTTAGAACCCCAGCAACATTCTGAAGGGCCATTGGTCATGAATTATGCCATTGAATGAATGAATGAATGAATGAATGGATGAATGAATGAATGAATTAATTAATGAATGAATGAATGAATGAATGAATGAATGAATGAAGGAACTTAAATCTTTTTAGTTCTTACTTTGTCTATATCTTAGTTATGTGTTAAGTTTCCCTGCCTAGTAAGGAAATTATGTTTATATATGTATATGGAGTTATCCTACTCAGATTACCAAAAGATCAATTTTCTTAGGATGAATATGTATAACTAATGTTTCAACTTTTCCCTATTTTAAGTAAATTTGTTAGAAAAGTTATTTAAAAGGTGATCTTATCTCAGGAAACAGTTTTTTAGGAATGGAGAGACAGACCAACTGACAGAGACCCTGAGAGTAAATGTTTAAACATCGCTGGTTGTTACCAGAATATAACATTTTTAAAAGGGAAATTCTTAAATTAAGAGGAGATAACTCTTTTGACATAAAAATGCTAGACTCATGAACATTGTCATACATAATGTGAGTGTAACAAAGAACAATTATCCAAAGATACTAATTGAAGTCACAAAGAAGAAAAGTGAAAAAATATCATTTTTCAAATATACCATTTACAGTAAGAAAGAAGAAAATTGAAAAAAAAATCAAGTAAATTTCAAGTTCAAAATGATTATAATCATGGAAAACCATGTCTTATAAATCTAATCACATATGAAGTAGGTGTTGATAATAAATGTCTTTTTTAAATTTGAAGTAAATTCAAGGAAAAATAAGAAAGTTAAAGAACGAGTTAGAAAAATTGAAGGTTTAAGGAGGAGATAATTCTGGAAATATGGGCGCTAGATTTATAACCCTCGTCCTTCTCCTCTTCCTCGTCCTCAAAGTCATTACTATTGATTTTGATGAAATCTTAGCAAGATGGAGTTATCCTTTTTAAAAAGGGCACAGTTGCGGCTATGTTAGCAATTTTCAATCACCACGTCATGTTGTCCTAAACTTTATTGACCGGACGTGCCGACATGGGTCAACATAATTCATGTCACATACAGTAAACAACGCAAAATACAGACACATGTAAAAGACGTTGTAATAACGTTATGTCTACATGTCGCTATGTCTACATGTCTTGTTGACTTAAATTTAGACGAGAAATCGCGTTCTTTTTTTAACGGCACGCCGCCATCTTTGAATGAAAAATGAACTTTTTATTTATCACTCTTTTTGGTGGAAATGCCTGAAAACCAGATATATGTATTAACACGCTCCACAATTTCCCGCTTCATCTGGTATATGTTGCCAGCAGAACTATTTGATATTACAAAAGTTATAGCTTACTTGAAACTCGAAGCGGGCCAAATTTTTTATGAATATACAAAATGAATTGTAACATTACCTCCGCCAGTCTCCCCCACCCCCTATTTTCTTTAAATTTACTGGCCATTAAATTGTTTGTTTCCACCCCCCACCCCCCATTGATAAGCCCCTCCTTCCTCCTAGCCCCCATGTTAATTATGACGAATAGGATTAAGATGGAAAGATGAATTAATTATGTCGACAATACATCCTTAATGTCAGACGACATAAATTTATCCTACTTATAACATCACGAGGGTGTACCTTATACGTTTCCTACGGAAGCTTGTATGTACCCCCGCTATGAAGACATGAAGTCGTCTCCCTCGACTTATAGAACACAACAAGTCGTCAAAATTACGTGTGAATACCATAATTATGTCTCGTAAGATAGCCAAGGCCGTCAACTTCATTGCCGCCTACTCCGCAAAATCTTCACTCCACAAAATTATAATTGCTTACTTCACACCACTAGGCAACCAACTTGTAAACCGACACATTGACAGTTCCATTTTGTTTGAAAAATCGGATGAATAAAAAACATTTTTTTGAATTTTGCTCTGAAAACTATCTAGAATGATAGAGAATGGTCTTAGAAAATAAATCTGAACACCAATATCTTTAATTAAGTCATTAACGCTGTACAGACGTTTGAATGCAAAAGCCGTTAAAAGAATGTTATTTCAATGTTGAAAAACAGTTGAATATCACTTTTATTTTACTATAAATACTCTGTATTTCGCTTGAGAAAACATAAAATGAAATTAAATAAACATAAAAAAAACTTCATCAACGTTTTCAAAATTTGTTATTCTCATAATGATTGTGCAAACGGGTCTGTAGACAATTTTCTGTTGCTTTTTTCAACCGTTACCCTTTACAAAATGTTGCTATTACAAACTGTGAGGCGAAAACAAATTTCACCACCAAAAATCTTGATTTTGAGTAATGTTTGCCACGGCCTTAGTGATTATATTACTGCTCATCAGTAGTTGCATAGAGTTCTATATATTTGATCAGGGAAAAGTGTATATAACACAGATCCTAACTTCAACAATTTTATGATTTAACTTATCAGTTTATTTGTTATTTCAGGATTTCTGGAATCAAGTTAAAGACAGAGGTATCAGGTTTTTGACATTTTGTAAGCTTTAATAGAGACATCATATCTCTCATCGACTTAAACTATACTGCTTTTCAAAATAATTTACATCAAGGTCTATTTAATATCGTATCATAGCAAATTTATATTGATTCCC